TGAAAAAACTAGTGGGAAAAAAAAACAAACTGATTAAAATTGGCATCCATTTGGCTTAATCTTTGCTCCGTGATAAAAAAAAAAAAGCAATTTCCAGTCAACTTCCTTTGGAGTAGATTTTGGGAGTAATTCCATTGATTTTAGTGAGACTAAACACCAGGAGACAACTGCTTTGCAGCCCACAAACAAAACTCTACTGGGCTCTCCAGTGCTTGTAAAACCCCCATTGGCTTTTAATCTCACGTCTGCTTATTTCTCAAGAAAGCAAAGTTATTAAGTTCTAAACAAATGTTTCCAATATAACATATATGGGTGAATAAAAATAAGACTTAAGTTAATTTATTCATAGTGTTACCAAACAATAAAAATGCATCTAGAATAATCTTCAGTGCCTCTTTAGAAGCACAGATTGCCTATGGGGTTGAAATCATAAAGAGATCTTCTATAAAATCTGCTTTCTTTTTGCTTATTCGCTATATAAATGACTTCCAGAGTTCCTTAATATTAATATGTGAAACTATATGATTTTTATTGTTGGTCAAGAAATGTAGAATTTGGTTAAATACTGTGACACTGAGGTTTATATTTTTTTCATTAACTTGATTACATGGTTACCTGATATATTTGTTCTTTAGGGTGACTTTTTAATTTCCTCCCCTACATTTAAAATGTCAACAGAAATTGATTCTGGGAGGTAAGTATCATAAAGCTTCCTAAATTTATTTTGATTCTGTTACTCAGAAAAGTATGAAATATAAAAGCCAAATGTATACCTAATTGTATATTTTTAAACAGTAGCTGAAAAACAATTCTTCCATGGGATGCAAAATGTATCTTGATGCAGTATCTAAACTGGTTGTTCAAAATTACATATGACAAATAACTCTGAAGAATTAAATTTGGTACTTTAGTAGTCAATGTTTTTCACCTGCTTATCTGCAACATTCAAAGTAGAATTTCTTTCCAATAAAACACAATCAAGGTAATAATCTAAAAACTAAATAAAATATAGTGGATACCATTATGTGAAGATATTTTAAAACAATATTGTTGGACTCAAGTGATATTTTTGCAATAGTCATTTATTTTTATTGAATAAAGCAGCTTTTAAGCTTATCAGGCACTGCCCAACAAAATATTTAACTGAGAAATTAATCTTGAATTGTAACTTTGAGCTAGCAGCTCAATATGCTACAAAAAAGGGAAAAAACCCTGTTAAAGTTCATAGTTTTAATTCTGAAGCCAACTTTTTCCAATATCCTGTACATTTATTTAGAAAAAGGGGGGAGGGAAAGAGGACAACATGAAAACACACAAAAAAAATATGAGCTATGAAAACATGTTGAGATGACATAAGAAAAAAAATAGAAACAGCTTATTCTTTAGTTACATATGAAACAAATATAGCCTATAGAAAATGAAGTATTGCATAGCAGTGTAAGGATTTGGATTTTGGGGAGGGGGGAATCCAAACAAAAAATGAATGAGTTGGTTCTGATAGTATCCATCTATGATAGTTAGTCATCCCGAACTATGTACATACTATATACTGCTTGTCATAAAAGTCCAGTCCTCTTCAGTCTTAAATATCTTAAAACAAGATTTTAAATGTCTAAACAAAAACACTTCCTGGCACTTCTATTACCACGTTCATTTCTCCAACCAACACCCTGTCAGAGTCTTAAAGTGTCCCTTAAAATTGAAAGTGCCGTTCTGCTACATATCATTCACCAGAAAATCAGCAATCCACAATGCCGGCAACTGCATCCACTGCACACTGAACACCGCATCTTCTACGTCATGACTGAGAAATTTCTGCCGCCATTTTGCGCTGGCCCCCCGCTGCACGTTGGGGTCTTCAAAGTTCCAACTTTAGAGCCCGTAAAGCTTCAAAGGGATGGTCAACAAGCACCATGATTAAAGGCCACTATGTCCCTGCAGGGAGACAGGTGTAGCATTTCTCTCTTTCGCTGCATTTTTACTTTTGCTTAGTTTTTTTTTTAAAGCACTTTAGATTAGAAGTGTGTGTCCATAGCTCTCAACCGTGACCTCTCCCGCTGCAGTTGTGAAGAAAGCTTCAGTTCCATCTGAAGGCCATGACACCTTAGCTCCAACTCAAAAGCCTTCTTTACCCAGAAGCCTCAAGACTGCCGAATTAACTTTTGTGGGTATTTAATAAAGAGAGATAACCCCAAAGGATTAACATCTTCATCGCCTCTGCTGTGCATATACTGGATAGGCTAATGTGACATTGAGAGAGTCATTGTGCTGCACTAATGAAGTATGCTGATAATGTAGCACCAGTTCTTTCAGCGTGTTGTACAAGTTATATGGCTCTGCAAATCCATACCCAGTAGGTGTTTTGTTGATTACGCAATGCTTCACTTCACTGTCCACACTAAAAAGGAGAAAAAAAAAGATTTTTTTAAAAAATGTCGCTAAGAGACATTTTCTTATATAACTTGCTCTTGATATAACATTACAGCAACATTCTTTGACCCATTACTGTAACCCTATCATTGTTTTCATTTAATCAGTAGTACTGTATTGCTCTGCCCTTCCATCATAGGTGAGAAAGTTGCTGTCCTCTTTAACTCTTCCAGCATCATTACAAATATTTCTTATAGATATCAGATTCCAGCGCTGTTCAAATTTGCTAGTGCTCTGCAGCAAATTGGTCCCCTTGGCTGATGGAAGATTGTCTTCATCAGTGGTAGGAAGACAAGCAGTTTTGGCAAATAATATTCCTCACCCCACAATCCTGCTCTTGCTTTGAAGAATTCCCCAATTCTCCAAAGAGTTTTGGCAACTGTAAAAGGAGTCTGGGTGGGATGAATGAAACCTCTGAAAACCATTACATTCTGATGGAAGCCTCCACTGAATATGTGTCAGTGGAGGGAACCCAACTGCACACTCATGGCTTATAAAATCGATTGTTATTAAGGAAGCCAAAGCCAAACCATTTTAAACATGAAGAAAGCATATACATTAATATTCTCTAGAAATAAATTTAGCTACAAGGAGTGGAGCAGTAGGCAGCGTTTGGTGGGCATTTAGAATTTAAATGCATGGCATCATACAAACAAATGCTTAACAGAAAGAGGAACATTACAAAATAGGGATACAGTTGGATCTCTTCTGTAATATTATAGACAAAGTTAGCTAAAGCAGGTTGGTGGGAAAAAAATATATATATATACACTCCTCATTCAATAACTGTTCAAAGTTATGATGATACTGAACAAGAGGGATTTATGAGCAGCCTATGAAGTTGTGGCTGTTTTAACATTCCACAATCATATAATCGCAATTTGGGCCATTGGTAACCAGCCTGCAATTATGATGTTTGCGTTAACCCATGGCCATGTGATCACCATTTGCAACCTTCCATGCTGGTTTTTCATAAGCAATGTCACTGGTGAAGCAGGCAGGAGGTTCCAAGTTGTTTCCACTGATTTGTTTGCCTGCCTACCCACATGCCAAACCCACCTTTCCCTGCTCTGTAGCCCCTGCCTGTGGTGCCCACCTGTGGATCCTGCATACCTGGCTGTCTACAGATCCCACCTGTCCAACTGTAGCTCTCACCCACTGGCCTGCTTGCTGGGGATTTTCACCTCCACCCATGTTGCAGTCCTGGCTTAACAACCTGTGGAGTCCTAAGTTATAATGGCAACCAATGGCATTGCCATCACTAAGCAAAGTGATTGTAAAGTTCAATGTCATGAGACTATATTGTTTAGCAGCAGGAATTCCATTCACAATTGCCATTATAATTCAAGAACTAGTTGTAATTGGTAATTAACACTGTGTTTTCCCAAAAACAAGACAGGGTCTTATTTTCTTTTGAGTCCCGATATATGGCCTTGGCCTTATTTGGGGGGGTGGGGTGTATTGTTTTCTGGAAGGTGGCGGGTGGGGCAGGCGAGAAGTGAGACACACGTCTTATCTTTCCAGCTCCCTCACGTTCCTTACTGTTGTATCCAGAGAAACACATGGTAAAAAACCTTCTTGCAAGTTCAAACTTCTTGAACTTGTGAGAAGGTTTTTTTACAAAGTGTTTTCCTGGACACAACGAGGAGGAATGTGACAAAGCTGGAAAGATAAAACACCCTGGGGCACAATGCGAGGGTTGGCAGGTGGGGCAGGTGATGGGGTGGAGGCTCCTGCAACCCGTCCATTCACGGTCGGAACAGCAAATCTCCGCTATCTGCCAGAGGATGAGGTGGCAGGAACCAACACCTTCCTGCGCCTCAAAAGTGGCTTCGCCTGGGTGCTGGTGTGGGGACTGGTGATGGCCGCCGGCAGCATGAGGGTGTTGGTGATGCCTGACCTGCTGCAGGCCAGGCGGACGGAGGCACTGAGATTGGCTGTGGGTGGCTGCCATCTGCTTCATCATCAGCGCCGCTTTCTTGCGCTGCTGCAGAGCAGCCTGGAGATATGAGCCCAGTGGTGGCGGAAAATGCTCTGGCCCTGGCGGCATGAAGTCCCCCGGCAGCCAGGATAGGGAAGGGCAACAGGTAGCTCTTCAAGGCAGTCACTCCGTGCATGCCTGCACCGTCGCTGCTCCAAGAATCAAAATGGGGCACTGGCAGGCAGGAATTCTGCTTGGCCAGGAGAGCAGGGGGTGGCAGCTGCCTCGTAAATAGCTGAGGAAGCACCCACTGTGCAGGCAGGAGGCACTGGGTTTGGGCTCAAAGCCACCGCCAAAGTGCGAGACCGGTGTGCGCTCAGGCCAGGTGGCGGGCTGCTGAAGGATCCGTAGATCGTCTGGGCCTGGCCAATTCTGGAGGGCCGCCGCGGTGGGTGTAGAAACTACCATAGCCTTCCCCGGACAAGGTTCATGGCAGGGCTGTTTTAGTCGGGTTTTTTTTTGGGGGGGGGCTTTTTTTTGGGGGGGGTGCTTATTTTAGCCCATGTCCTGAAAAGCCTGATTATGCTTAGTATCAGGACATGTTCTATTTTCGGGGAAACATGGTATTGTATGCAAATAATATTTATATTTATGACCTATCATATTCTGAAGTCAGGCAATAAATTTAATGATTATCAGACCCCCATACTTTCACAACAACTTTTTGCTGAAAGGCTGTTGCCAATGTTTTGAAAACTTCATTAACAAATATTTCAAGCCAGAAAACCAGTATTACAATAATCCTTTGAAGGGCAATCCAAGCAGATGCATGGATCCAAGCTTTGGTTAATCATCACATAGAGGGAATGAGGGAGTTCAATTCATTGCTGAAGAAACAGGATAAATATTTGAATACATACACAACAGAACAGGCATAGCAACCCTGCTTGCTGCTTTCCCTAACGAGGAATGTTCCATCTCGTTTCCCACGTAATAAATTTTCAGCTTGGCTTCTGTTGATATTTCCAACATTCCATGTGCGTTCATCATGATGGGGCAAATCTTCATCATCTTCTACTATAGAGTATTGGCTGTTCAGAAGCAACATGAGACAGTTAAAAAACAGAAATAATAAAAGACCAAGCATAATACAAGAATTTGAAACAAAATCAAACTGTTTGACTCAAGGCAGTTTTGTTGACCATAAGGCCCCATTGTTAGGTTTTCAGAGAAGTAACTATTATATAGCTTGACACTCCTCTCTCTCCATTCATAAATGTTAGATTTATAAAAATAAATCTAACTGAATGTTGCTTTTTATTTTCCTGATATAGCATATATTTTGGAGTATTCACTATAATTCAATCAAAACTTACTAAGTGGTTCTTATTCAGTTCACCCAAATAATTAAGGTTAAAACTCTTAGAAATAATAAATTTAGATTTTGGAAAAGAATAAACCACTTAAAATAAGTAGGACAGTGCAATACTTTGGGCTTTCAAAAAGATGCCTCAAACCATGTGGAGAACAACCTCTATGCATGTCCTTTGCCTGGAATACATGCAGCTGCAAAGTCAACTGCACAAACCCAGGAAAAGATGCAGCTGCTTTAAAGAGTTATAGACAACTACTACATTCATGTTATTACTGATCTGTACATCATTAAAATGATGAATTCAGCTTTATGTGCAAGGAATTCCTACTGGAAATTATTCTTCACTGAACATAATAGAACATAATTTTCTGTGTAGAAAAGTTATCAGTGGGTAACAGGAATTGTAGTTTGCACCTGGATTTTAAGAACTGGTTGAAAAGAAAATCTAAATCATGCTTATTTTAAAATCATGTTTATTTTATCTTTAGAAGGATTCTCCAGTTTTAGAAAGCAATGCCTTGAAAGAATGGGAAGTTTTATTTACTATTTCTAAATCTCTTTGGATCAACAGTAGGATTCAATTCTTAGGCAAAAAAAGGGGGGTTATATAAGCTAAGCTCCTGAATTGATAAAAGTACTACATTATTGACATGGATGTTATAAAATGATTTATATTTATAAATATTTACATTGAATGATTAAAAACACAATAATCAGAATCTGAGGTAACATCCCCCCACAAAAAAATATTTGGATACTCACTCTTCTGAATTTTCATTGCCAAGCCATTCATTCAGTTTCTTTTGCCGAACACCTTTCTGTGTCAGCCACCTAGAAAGCAGTTTTGAAAACAGTGTTAATCTAGAGAACATTCATAGAAACTCAACTGAAAGAAGTGCACTTAAAAGGCTGGAATTCGCAAATACTTACATCAAGTACTGATCTCTAGTTTTTCGGAGCTGTATAAGGTCTGGCTTAATGCTGTTCATGCGTTTGTCTATTTCTCTGTATTCTGCAGCCTGCTTCTTTAGATCTTCTTCCAGTCTATGTCGACTGTCCACAATTTCACTTATTCGAGATTTCAGCTTTTCATAGTTGTGCATGATTCTGGAGAAAATAATTTGGCATGTTTACATCTCATTCTGGTTTCTAGCTTTATCTGGAGACATTTATATATGAGATATATATATATACTTTTGACTCACTGTAACCAACCTTTGTATTTCTTTTTCATTTCCTTCCCGTTTGAACTTTTCAATATATTCCTTGCTGTATCTTTCTTGCGTTTGGCACTGTTCTTCAAATATTTTTATGGTTTCATTAAATGCTTCAATAGCAGTTCTTTTCATTTGAATTTCCTGGATAGAATTAAAAACTGTTTAATAATACTTTAAAAATATCTAATTGAGTAATACTTGAATATTTTTATGATATGATTTTTAAAAAGAAAGTATTACTAAAGGATAGGACTGAAAAAGATGTCTTGTATAGCATTTATTAGTTTACTATTATCTTCTACAAAAAGAGGTAGCTTTCCAAGATTTTAGTCTAGTTTTTTCCAGACCTGATTGGAAATCGTGTAGATTGAGCCCACAAGATTCTGCATGGAAAGGATGTGCTATTCCCACAAAGCATTTTCTACTTTTATAGTTCCTCTTTGTGGTTGATGGATGCCTCATTAACCATCCTACTTTTTAAATCATTGGCATTGAAAACCAATCTCTATATAGAACATGTATACAGAATGTAAGCATTCAAGGAATACCTTAGATAAAATGTTATCAAAATACTTTAAATAATTCTTTAGATCACTGCACTTCTATAATTTAAATACATATTTGTATTTGTACAAAGATAACTTACAATATACTTTTAATATATTGTTATATTGTGAACATACTGTGTGAACACTTCCATCTAAATAATTCTAAGCCATTGCATTTTTTGGGGTTATAGTGTACCTGATTTTAAAAAAAAACATTTATTACTGATTTACTGCTGAAGTTGCTGTTTCAGAACATAGCAATACATCAGTACTATTTGGATGGTTTAGCACTATTAATCAATCCTAACCTTGCTTCAAACCATGTTGTTTTTAAAACTGAAACTGAAAGGTCAAGATTTAGCCTCAAACTCTATAAAACTGAATTTCACTGGATTAATGGGTCTATTGGATGAACTACTTTATATTTTAAATTGTAATTGACATTCAACACTGCTAACCTGAGATGTTCTTGTATAATCTTCATAGAGTCTGTCATATTCTCTGTTCTTTTCTTGGAACTGAATATTATATTCATGTAATTTCTTTCCAACAGCTTCAATACTATCTTCTTTAACTACTTGATCCTAGGAGGATAAATATATGGAAATACATTCAATGAAAGCAGACCCTTTCTTACAGTAGTAACACTTTTCATAAAGCAGCAATCAATCAAATAATAATTCATAATTTGCAAAAGAATGATCGTGTTAAAGCTTGTAAAATAGTTTCTTCACAGAACATAAGCCATTACTTATAATGCTGCCACCACAAGCAAGGCTCCAGGACTTCTCTTGCTATGAGATAAATGTATGAGTTTATTAGACTAATAAGTTATTGCATGTGAACAATTTTGTTCATACAATTTTGTTTATTTACTACTAAAAATTAATAGTGGTCACTGTGGAATTGGGCATCTTATACAAAGGAACTTATAATTAGCAACATAAAAAGATAATTTCTCATTCAGCATCCATCACACTATATGTATTCCAGGTGTGAAGCTATATCAGCTAACAACTAGCAAAAACAAAAGCAACAACAAAAATCTTCCTTGGTTAACCTTAGTAAATATTTCATGATATGAGATTATTCTTCTAGGCAGGAACCCAGAATTCACTTCCGATAAAATGAACATATGAATTTTAAACATAAGAGTTGTTTGCAGAATTTCAGTGTAATTTCCACAGTGGGACTATTGTTCATGCATTTTTCGGTATAATTTCCACAGCATTAACTTTAAGGATTTTGAGTTGCCACATCCACATAATTTAAGGTTTTATATAATTCATTATTATTCATGCAGCAAAAAGAAAGGGAATAAGATGCATATGTTACCTGTTGATATTTGGATACTGGATAAAGTAATTTTACATCCAGTTTTGGATTATATTGAGCTAAAGATTCATTTCGATAGTGGTTTATTAGCTCAACCACAGAATTGAATGTTAATGGATCTGAAAAACCGTATTTCCCATCTCGATGAAAGATTTTTATCAATTTATTATTTCCTCCTTTCCTGTAAAGTTCAGAAAAAGAAAGACTCAGCTACATTCATGATTATTATTTTTCTTCTGCAGTGTGATGTAAAGGTGATACCGATTCAGCTGTTTTTACCTTAGTGTGAGAGTGTAGTCACCATGCATTTTGGTGGAGGCATCTCGTACCAGGAATGTACCATCAGCAGTGTCACGAAGTTTCTCATTGACTTCTTCCCTATTAGGGACCAAAAGCAACCTCAGATTTAATTTTCTCAAGAAAGAGCGCCCTTTTGTATAACTTTCTGCTTGCAAGGTAAACCTTGGAATTTTTGAGTCATTATAATGGAATTATTCTTTTTTTCTCAAAAAATTCTATTATAGAAGAGTTTGATGGTAACTCATATGCACAAAAGAAAAGGGGGAAAGGATAGATATGTTTTGTATTTCTAGTCTTGTGTATTAACATAGTAAGTTTTAGATGTAAAAATCTAGCTAGATGTATCTACTCTGGACATGCTTGCAAAATAGCATAGAAATGTTTAATGAATCTCTTGTTATTTTTTATTCTTGGCAATGTATGTGTCCAGATATCAGAAGCTGTAGTATAAATGCTTTAAACATATCACAATATAGTGCAGGTTAAACACATGTATGCATAATCAACCAAGATAAAAGATATATTTTTGTCTCACCTTGAAATATCTCCCCAGTACCATTCAGCATCTTGCAAAGACATGTTATTATTCATACCGTTATTTGTTACAGTGTTAGGTTTTGTAGGCTTTGGAGGCAATGCTGCAATGAAATTTAAGAAGAAAATAGCTTAGCTATATAGCCTGCAGGCAATATAATTTTAAATGCTTTAATGAAACTATGCTTAATGTACATCTATTAAATTATTGCAAGTTGAATTTTCATTTTTTTTGTCATCTGCCATAGTTTTCAACTTGTCATTAACCAATCCAAATAGCATGCATGCAAAATTAATTTCTTTAAAAAAAAAAACTAATTTATCACAGTTGGAAGTGATTTCTTTTTCCTGGATATAAGACTGCAGCCTCTGTTGTCTGACCGTCTTATGCTTCCAAGTCAAGAGCCCCTCCCCCCTCCACATACAACAGAACACAATTTAGACTTCCAAATGCATAGACTGAAGTTAGCCTCCTCTTCATGCCACATCCTTTGTTATTAATTTCTTTGTGCATCACTTTATATAATGCAATTATGTTTTAAGCCGTCCTTCCCCAATTTAATTACCCAGGAGGAATTGCTTTGCTATCAACTCCAACCCTGCTGTGGTTTAAGAAGAAATCAGCAAATCATCAGTACTACTACATATTTTAACACACTGCCTGGATCTCTTATGCTTCCTTTTATAATCTGCTGTCCCCCAAACACTTTAAGGAACCAGTCTGTGACAGCTATCCCTTGCCTTAATCTGAGCTGTCTGTAGGATAAAATTCTTTCAAATGGCAAGACTGATTCAAGCCACATACTTCTCTGTTGCTCAATGTCAAGGCTGCATACATACAGTGGGTGGCAAAAAAATACTGCAGCATTCCCTGGCTTATCGGCTAAAAGGGATCATGTTTTTAAAAAATGCATAAACACCAAGTTCACTCATTAAAGTTCACTCATGCCTTTGCCCACTAAACACATTTATGAAACGTAATAAATCAAAATGACAATTGCATTTTCAGAGGTTTAAGGAGAGGTAACAATCTGCTCATCCTGTGCTAAATGCTTGCAGATAAAACAGGATCGCATCTAATAAACTCTAACAGTGACTAATAATTTTAAATGCTAGCCTTTTTTTTAAAAAAAAAGCCCCCTGATTGCATTCCGAGTCAATCATGATACAGAAAACAGTACCCCCTTTTCTGTATAACCACAGACCCACAGGTGAAAGAACGAAACTAAAACAGAAACATACAACAATTGCAATTTCATCTAACAAGGAAAAAAGACATTTGCACAAACCCCCTTTTCCTGACTCCTTTTCCTATGCACTAAACACAACTGAGCAATTATCACAAAATCCCCCCTAAACATTTCACCCTGCTCTAATAACAGCAACTGTTAACATTCAGAATATGCTTGCCTTTTCAATCATAATGCTGCAGTACAGTATTACCATTACCTGGTGGATCCATTTCTATGTAAAAAATCAAGTCTGTGCCACAATTTACATCTGTCCTAGGGTACTCTAGGTCCACCTCTTCCATGTTCCAGACTGTGTTGTACATTTGTGTGACTTTCAGCAAGAAAGCTCAGTTAAAACGAAACAGTCAGGATCTTTTTGTAATGGTGTCTTGGAATTCATTTTAAAACCTCCAAGGGGCTGCACTGTAACCTATTACATCATAATCCCCAGCCAATCATGTCAAAAATAATGTCACTGGACCACTCCTATTTCATCATTTTTGTTATTCATTGTTAATCTTATAACAATTGTCATTTCAGAAAGTACAGGCACTAATGATCGGCACCTGATCTTATTTATTTAAAAAAGAAAAGAAAAAAGAAGAAGACTGAGCCGGTTTCTCGGTTTACACAGATTTTCCCCCCCCCCTCCCCCTTACTCTTTTCTGTCTGGCATTTGGTACATTCCACTCCTGGCAGGTTGACAAAGGGTGATATGCTGCAGCAGGAAGCCTTCTCTTTCACAACTACTGTGGGATTCTTGGTGGATGGAGAGCTACTTCCCTTCTAGACACAGCAATGCAATGTCAGGGCATTGTTTAGCTTTGACGGTGGCGCTTTTAAAGAAAAAGAGAGAAACCAGAAATCTCAAGAGGTATTGCCCAATGCCTATTTTATGGATGTTTGGTTTTGAATAAGCTTTATCCTAATAAAATGTTCTTAAGATGTCATTTGTTTCTAAGCAGGATCAACGTAAGTTATTATTTACAGAATATTTCAATTGCTTTAGGGGTTAATATTCCAAATAGCTTTATTTTAAAAAAGAAGAACAAAAAAAAAAAGCCTCAGCTGCAGCAAGAGGGGGAAGGGGAACCCAACCACTCAATGCCTGTTAGCTGACTTTCCAGCCCGTAAATGTTTGGGGAAATGAGGGAATGCTCTTCCAATGTACTTGGTTTGCATGGATTTAGTTGACTTGATTCCATAATTTGCACACTTTTGCCACTCTTAAAACAAAAGCTCCTTGTGATCATCAGTTTATCAGACTTCATGTTTCCTCAAGCCCTGAAAAATCTCTCAAGCAAAGCAAAGTTCTTTTTTTTTTAAAAAAAAGAATAATTGTTCTCTAGCCTTCAGAAAAGTCTCTCATATCATACAACTCGTTTTGAGTTGCATTTTGAATATATAGCACATATGAAGAAGGCCAGACAGGGAGAGTATTGAACACAAGTACTGCCACATAAATGATTGCACTGGTATTGTTAACAGTTCTGTCCTGCCACAGTCATGAATTTTACAATCAAAGCACTGCATATAAGAATCATCCGGTGACCCATTTTTATCTTCTGAAAAAAACAACATTTTGTAACTGCATACTTATAGCACCATATTGACTAATGCACCTCCAAACTCATTACGCTACCACAACCATGCTTAAGCCCATCTTGAAGCTGCTTTCCCAACCTTCCCTGTCCAGTTAGGTGGATGGACACCAGAGATTCCTTCCACATGTTTCAAGTAACAGGACACTTCAGAGAATCCCAGACACAAGCTCAAACAGTGAAGCTCAGGGTTTAGCCCACCTGCTATCCAAATAGCCCTGCCGCCAAAGCGCATTGCTTACAAAGGTTACATGAGATATAAAGCAACACAATTAACCATTAGTTGGTAATTTCTTTCTCTCTCTCATTGTATTTCCCTTAGGTAGGCTTCAACAAAATGCATTTTACAGGTGAAAGAAGAGAATTTTCTTGCTAAAATTATACTACTGGCTAAATTCTGGACAGTTGCACTTGTATGATCAAGTTACTTCTTAACCCAAACTAGTCTAGCTTGCTATGACATCACGTGGCAAACCAGAAAGAGCAAGATTCTGACAAACCAGTGATTTTCCATAGTTCCAGCATATGCTTTCATTAAGACACATTTTGACTATTAAAACACAACTATTTAGTCTGCTTGGCTGCAGCATATATTATTCTAATTGTGATAGAGATTGAGAAATATCCATGTATATGTAAATCCACACACACACATATACACTCACCAGAGTTCCTTCCTTTAAAGAATCATATATATATATAATTCAAATTAAATCAAGAATTACTTACTTTGCATACTATGCATGGTGCACATTCACCCTTGTATATCACACAATCTGAAAATTCCAAACTGAATGCAGTTTCAGCTCAGCTTCACAGATTAAAATACAAATTAAATCAGGCTTCCCTTGGATTCAAATCTTCTCTGAAACAACTAGGAAGAAGTTATCTCGAAAACTGTAATAAATTCTTCTGCTTGGTAAATCCAGAAGAAAAAGCTGCAGTGAGTAGAATCAGAAAGCTTCACGTCTTTTCCTCTTCGGAAAGAATCAATCTCTGTTCTTGCTGAGACTATCAACCCATTTCTGTTTCATCACTGAATTTAGCTGGCCTTTTTTTTCCCCCTTTCTTTTTTTTTTAAAAAAAAGTCCTCTGTAGCTTGCACGTCTCTCCAAGATAAAGATCTCAGTTTCATGATTAACTTGGGCAGGTTCAAATATTTGCTGAGCAAGGGATTTCAGGTGGGGGAGGGGAGCTGGAGTCAAAGTCAGAGTTGTCACCGGCTAACAAGTGGCCAATGCAAGACTAACCGGTCTCAATTTAGCTAAGCAAATGAGAAGACCATTGTGAGTAGCCTTAAAACAGTTTCTATAACCAGCTGCTCCATGCAGTGTTGAAGGAGACTGTCAAGAAAAGCATTATGAGCAGCCAAATACAGGAAGTGGCTAAGCTAATTCAGGAGGGGGGGGGGAAGAGATAGAATGAAAGCCCTTCTTGTAAAGTTTTGTGCCTCAAAAAGCCCACAAATTCAGAAGCTGTTTAGCATTCACGACACCACCTTCCAGTGGATCGCAATGACAGGTGCTGCTTGAGGACTCCCCAAACAAAGCCATGTAACTACTGAGTCAATTTAAAATCAACTTAAAGTCTAACTCCCCCCCTCCCACCTCTTGCTAGCTTCAGCCTCCACATTTCTTTCATAACATAAAGAAAAACCTTGTGCATCTTTATTTGCAAATACTTCCCATGGTGCCCAATGGGGCTTGTTCTCAAGCAGATATGCCATAAATAAGATCCCTGAACAAGGGCATTATTTTGGTCGAGCGATAGCACTGTGCAAGATAAAAGATTTTAAAATGAATGTTATTTGATCAATAACATTCATTATATATGGATAGAAAAGTTGAACAAGAAATTGCTTACCCTCCTACGAACAGTATAAATGGATGTTGAACCCACAAACTTTCATTAAAATAAGAAATTCTCTTACAGCCTGACAACCGAAAGGTAGTAGGGGGAGGGGAGGGCAGAAATATTACAGAAGTGCCTATATCAGCCAGCCAGGCACACCCTAAGTACCTAAGCATCTATAAATCCATTAGTCTTGTGGCACAATTTTATTTTACGACTTAATGAGCGGATTTTATTTGATTTCTTTTTTCTTCTGTCTCTTTCTTTTCTTGGCAAACAGACAAATATTCTTTGGAAATTAAACATTATTTTCCTTCTTTCTTTACATATTATGCTTTGGGACATTCTGCTCTTAACATCCACTCAAGGCATGGTAGAGAACGAAAACGGTTGTAATGGCTGCTGAAGGAGAACACCCCA